AGTTCAACTTGATGTAATCAATTAATGGTAGAGACCAAGTAAGGCTTGTATTAGACTTTTGACAGTCAAAACTAGCCACTTCTAATTTTTCATGATGTCACCTGTTGAGAAATGTGCAAACATCTCTAAAGAATTTACCCAATGAACCACTCTCACCATGATGGTTTCTATGACAGCCTCTCTATTTCTTTCCTTATCTGAAAATATTCTTCAGTTCCTTTCTTCCCAAACGGTCCAAATCACTGCAGCCCCTACACATTTCCATAACACTCATCCCCTTTCCTTTGGCCACCCCAAAAATGTAGGAGCAAACAAGCTTTGCAGATTAACAAGGGGAGACCACCTGCACCCAAACAACAAGAAAAAACACTTCCAAATAAAAGTTACAAAGGGGTAGGAGATTAATAAGTGAAAGCAAGTTTTTCCATTAGAGTTACACATAACACACCAGTGAGGGGATAAGCACCAATTAGTTCTTTTCCTTTGGAGTAAATCGCAAGTATTAATTCTTCCCAGGAAGACTTCCTAATAAAAACATCCAACTTTTGGAGGGATGGGTTTGTCCCAAACCTCTTTCACCAGAAAGGGTAGCTCCAATGAATCAAAAGGTTGAATAAGAACCTTGAATAAAGAAGCACAGAAATAGGCACCATAGGAGGAAAGGGTCCAAATACGATTGTCAGGTTTCGAGGAGTCTAAGTAGACCCCATCAAGGATATGAAGCAATTCCAAAACATCATTAAGTTATGAGTCCTCACATCCTTCTCGATCCTAAATCCCAAGGAACCAGAAAGAAGGACAAAGGTTTACCATTATATCTCAACAGAGCAAAAGCAGAGGGGAATTTATCTTTCAAGGAGAGGTTATCCACCCAAACATGTTCCCAAAATTTTAATAGATTATCAGAACAAAGGTCATATCCTCAACAAATTTCTTTCCACCCTATAAAAATAAACCCAATATTTTACCACCCACTTGAACCTCCCACTCCCCACCACACAACTTAGTCCCAAGAAAATAAGTGATCAAGTTATCATATCTTAGCTACCCTAAGTTTTTACATCTTTTATTGGTAACTTGAAACATTAGGAATTACGGTATGTACAGCATACGAGCAGTGATCAAGTTATCATATCTTAGCTACCCTAAGTTTTTACATCTTTTATTGGTAACTTGAAACGTTAGGAATTACGGTATGTACAGCGTACGAGCAGCCCCAAGAGAAAACCAGTCACCAGACCCTATTGCTAGTACCTTTTCCTCCATGCGTATCACATGTCCCTCTATCCGCCCCCTGCTAAACAGCTGGTTGATTTCTATTGACCCGATCTTTTTCCCAAAGCACCAACAATATCCATTGATCAGTGAATCCATGAGTATTTTGCATCATTGCTTTGATCTCCTTCGGGGTGCTTCTGTAATGTCAAGTTCCAATGCTGTCATTTTTCATCAATCCCACTACAAACTTTGAGTCTCCTTCTACGATCAATGTTGTGAAATTTAATACCTTTCCCAATCTGATTCCATATACAATTGCTAGCAATTCCACTCATAGACTTTCCAAAGCCCAATCTGAAGGGTTGGTGGGTGGGTTACTTACAATTTGGGATACAAGAGTGTTGATAAGTTGGGAATGCTGAAGGGGTGTATTCTCGACAATAGTGGTTTTTGAGCATTTAGTTTCTAGAGAAAGATTGATGGTGTCAGATATTTAAAGGCCAAATAAAGAGGGAAATAGTTCCTGCCACCTGTGTTAATTTGTGTGGTTGTTGCAGATCCAGCCTTGGGAGCTTTACCGAATGTGAACAGTGATCCTAGTGCCACAGGAAAGAATGGAAAGGGTGAAGAGATGGGAAAAGAGGAGAAATTGTAAAACTAGTCCTAGGAAATTTAGCAACCCTTTTGGAGGGGGAAGAGAATCCTGAGAAGAGACTAGATTTGCGAGACTTGAATGCAGTCCAGATAGTGGGTGAAAAGGATTTAGGATACTCAATGAAGAACCTGAAAAGGAAGGGCTACTTAGCAACCCACCTCAAGAGAAAGAGCAACAACCATCTACCCGTGGGAAAGGTCATCCTGCCTTGAAAACCTACCTAAGGAAGGATTTAGGAGGGAATAAAAAAAAGGAAGAGGAAAATGAGTGAAGTGGAGGAGTTAGTATGTGGAATCTCCTATGACAAAACTGAAATCCGCAAGAAGGAGAAAGAGAAAGGGGATTTGACTTTAAAAAGGGGGTGGGATTTACAAAAAGCCTTTGTAATGAAGATTCTCTATTGGAATGTAAGGGGATTAGCAAGTGCAAAAAAGAGGAGGATGATCAGGAATGTCCTAAAAAAAGAGAGACCAAATGTTGTAATGCTCCAAGAAACTAAGCTCTCTAACCTGGACAGAAGGTGGAGAAGAAGTATTTGGAGTAGTAGAGGGCTGAGTTGGTCCTTTGCCCCTTCTTGGGGAGCTTCTGGGGGTATTCTCACAATTTGGAAAAATGAGGAGGTGGAGTGTCAGGAAGAAGTATTTGGTCAGTTCTCAGTATCAATAAAAGCAAGCATAAAAGACTTAAACATCCCCTAATGTTTCTTATAGTGAAGAAGGGGCTTTAACTACACTGCTTTGTATCGTTCATTGTTCAGTTTGTAGTACTTCCTGATTTGCCAAGGGGGAGACTTGAGATTGGTGTATGGAATTACTTGTTTAGGTTTTTGCTATCACAACAACACAATTAGAGAATTGCTTTTAGCTCTTTAGAGTTACTTGGGAAATACTTTTGCCTAAGTTGTTCAGCCAATGGAACTCAAACCATATATTGGGCGCTATGCAAGACAGTTTCCTTAATTGCTGACTCCAATTTAAAGATTGTGATATATTGAATGGGGTTTTAGTGCGTTCCTGTAGCAGTTAGGTAACCTTGCAAGTCTGGTGTGTTAACCAAGGTAAAATAGATAAATTGCTTGAAAAGAAAAAATCTCCCTATTGTCTGCTCAGATATCTCTATTTTCTGGATATGGTAATTAGTCATTGCCAAACGGTTATAAAGGGGCAAAGTTGGGTTTTAAGAAAATTTAATGTCACAATTTATATCGATCCAAGTTCACTTGATTAAATAGCTAGGATCCTCCTATTTTTAGGAGGCTGGAAAGGCTAGCTCTTCTAGTCTATCCTCAGGTTGATCAAAGCTCTGTAAATTTGATGTGCATTCTATTAATAAAATTTCAGCTATTTATCAAAAAAATGGTGGCCGTTCCTTGAATTTGGAATCGAAAAGATTTTGCGAGACTCAAAAACCTATAAGAGTGGTCCCTTTGTCTTTCTGGGATGGATGAGAAAGTATGAGATTCAAATTCCAGTGGTAATGTGGCATTTATTTCTTGCAGTTCTTTCATTAGACACTCTAAAAAACCAATGTCACACCTTACCCCTTCCCAACAAAAGCCATTTGGAATGATTCATCTCCTCCAAAGGTCAAAGTTTTCTGTTGGCAGGCAACAATTCAGATCACTAACACAAGTGAGAGGCTCTAAAGGAAACAAAAGACCCTGTGTTCATCCTCTTATGCCAGCATTCTATGCTTGAAGAGTGGAGGAAGCACAACCCATCTTCTGTATGCTTGCCAATTTGCTAGTCAGGTAGAACAACCTTTTCCTCCTTTCCAGAGTCTCTTATATAGCCCCATCAAAAATCATACACCTCTTTTTTTCAGATAAGTAATATAATAGACCCTATCCTACAAATTTAATTATTTGTCAAGAAAAAAGATAGAAAATATTGTGTCATTGTACAAGAGATGCCATCCTACCTATGGGGTGAGAAGAATGCTAGAATATTTGAAAACAAAGAACTAGATTTTCATTGCTTTATTGATCTCACCATGGTAAGATTAGCACATTGGATTTTAACATGTGAAAATTTCAAGGGGAAATTGATGATCTGTTGAGAGGATGGGAAACAGTGGTTGTATTTTATGCTAGAAATAACAAAGATAAATGGAATGGAAGGCTCCCGATTCAGGTGGATTGAACCTAAACTTTGAGTCTTGACATTTGCAGCTTTAGGCAATCCAGGCATATAAGGAATATGAGTCGTTGAAAGAGACAATGGTAATACTTCACTTAGCTTTTTCAGGACCAATTGGGCATGGCAATTTCATTTTCACAAAGGTTGAACGGTTAGCCCTCATTCAATGCTTGAAGTTGGCAGCTATGCAAGAATGGATAGACAGGATTGTTGAAGGGGATTGCCAGCTCATTCCATGGATCAGAGCTAATGAAGAAATACCTTGAATATGAATATCTTTATTAACACAGGCACATATACTAGGAAGCAACCTGAATAGCTCATTCAATTAGGTCGTAAGGACTGCAAATTGCTGGGCCAATGCTCTAGCAACAACAGGGGTGACAAGGCAGAACTTTCTATGGAAAATTCAAAGGCCGGGGAGAGAATTGTGAAGTTTTCTGATATATGTCAGTAGTCAAGCCATTGCTGGCTTTGTATTTCTTCCCTTGCCTCCAATTTTGTGGGTAGCAAGGAACCTCTATTGAATTTAATTAATTCTGTTGATCATCAAGAAAAAGCATACCACATTGAATGAGCTTCACATGTGAACCTAGGCAGACATGGTGGTTCCTTTTAAGTTTTCCTTATTCTAAATTATTATGGTTTCAAGAGTTCATAGTGCCTATGAATGTCATTGTGAAATCCATTACATATGTCAGTAACTGATAATATGGATCAGCATGAACGGTCACACTTTTGCCCCCACAATTCATTCAAAAAGGTATAGGTACAGTCTAAGAACTAGTAATCAGGTATTGTAATATCTTGCAAAAAAGCTGCAGTTATAAATAGTCCCACAATTAGAATGGTTTTGAGGTATAAGTTTGACTTTAATGTTGTTCAACAATCCATCAAAGAAGCATGACTTATCCATGTTCAGCTTGCCAAAACAGCAAATATCACCTCAAAATAAAGGACATCATCACCCATATATAATGCATACTTACTATCAATCCCATAAACATTGCGCCAAAAATCAATGCTTTCACTATATCTCTCAGAATGAGTAATAGGTGCCATGTACAGCTGCAAAACATGAAAAGCAAATCTCAGAAACAGGTGATTTTTTCAAATTTTTAATCACTGCCAGATGAACCTAGAGAGGTCAATAAAATAACCTCAAGTCAATTTAGCACTACTTTTTGTTATATAGAATTTTTCTAATTGATTAAAAGTTCATTTATTCCAACTACACCAACTTGAGCTTGTCTTACAATGCCGGTCCCAAGCCTGGAAAAAGGAGAAGGATTGCGTCAGGTTGGCAGCCAGCATTAAAACTTTTGCCAAACCCACATGAATATGGGTCCTGATTTGGGAGTGGCAGAAATGTGAATGCTAAGATGGATGAGTGGAAAAACTACAAAGGATAGGATTAGGAATGAAGTCATCCATAGGAACCTAAGAGTAGCTCCAATAGGTGATAAAATGAGAGTAGACAAAGATGGTTTGGTTATGTGCATAGAAGGCCACCAACAGCTCCCGTTAGAAGAAGTGATTTCTTACAAGTTAAAGGGACTAAAAGAGCTAGGGGTACACCAAAAAGGACATGGGTAGAAGTGGTAAGAAATGATTATGGCACTAATAATTTAGCAGTGGATATGGTTTTAAATAAAACAGATTGGTGAAACAGGATTCATGTAGCCAACCCCAAATAGTTAGGATAAGGCATGGGGTGATGATGATGATGATCAAAAGTTCCTCTTTTGCCTATCTCAAAAGAAACAGAAATTAGCTTCATACAATTAGAAACTATCTAGTAAATATGGTTTTGAGTTTAAAGAAAAGAAAAAACTACAGAGCAAGTATGGTGCACCATCATGGGGGTACACCAAGGGGAATACTAACTTTGTGGAATATTGAAGTTAATAAGGATTTGGAGTTGGTGGATAGGCATTCAGTGTCGGTTAAACTAAGAAATATGATAATGGATTTAGATGTGATTCAGTCCAATAAATCAGAAAAATAAATCTTAGATTATAGGTGAAAAGGTGAGAAGAAAGAAGAGAAACAGTACAGAAAAGGAAGAAGAAGATGAAGAAGAAGGGAGAGGAAGAAGATAGTTTGGTCCATTTTCCTCTTCTCCTCTAATCTTTTATTAAACTTATAAGGACAATTACTAATCTGCCCTTAATGGGGCGTCCAGCTCATAATCATACTTAAAAATAAAATAAGAAAAGTTAACAGGCCCATAAAGACAAGGCCCATTAACACTCATAACAAATAAAAACAAAAGATAACATAATGATTCACTAGGGCCCATTCGGCCCAGTCTCTCTACAACTAATGTATAAGGACTGACAACGGAGGTACAAAGTACCAATACCCCACATAATTTTTTGTGTTTTTTTTTCAAAATTGGTGTTAAAAAAAATAAAGCATTATTGGGTAAATGGCTGTGGAGATGATCATAGCCTGTGGCCTGTGGCACTTTTTTTTATCAGCTCTGTGGCATGCAGTAATTAGAAGCACTCATGGCATGATAACTGATGGATGGGATGCGAGCTTTGGAGATCAGATCCACTTTTGAAGCTCCATGGAAAGATGTATTCCCTTTACTTCCTGAGCTTATCTAGCACAGAGGGTGGAGGTCTATTGACTCTATTCAAGGGATAGAACCAAGTTTTGGCATAACCTTTCATAGGGGGCCTACCTTTTAAAGATAAATTTCCTTGGTATCTGAATGTCTTGTAGACTTGCAGTATATAATCAGGGTCTGTCTTGGAATCTTGATTTGAGGAGAGAACTCAATGATGAGAAATTGTGTGAGATTTCTTCCCTTCTTGAGTCTTTGCCTCTTTGGTTGGCTTTCTTTGGATGGATCAAGAAGCAATTGTAGAATATAGACAGCTACTGTTTCTAAGGTTTCTTTTGTGCTTCTTTTTTTTTTTTTGATGTCCTTGCTATTGGTCCTACTTTGCCTCATGATTTTCCCGTTAAAGTTATTTGGGATGGTCCTATACCATACAACCTCCAAAAAAAAGACTAAATTGGTGTGTTTCTACTAATGTGTTTTCCCTGTAGAGCAAGCTGTAAGACTTCCAGACACCAAGGAATCCCCCAGCTGCTCTGTGGAGCTTGTTCAACCATTTTTTCTTTTCTCCAATAAGGAAAAGAGGTAAGTCACAATGGAGGTTTACGAGAGCAGCTATATCGTGGACCACATCTGAAGAAAGGAATAAGAGGATCTTTGAAGACAAGTGCCCAGCTAGGGAAGTTTAATAGAACAATCATGGAAAGGGTGGTGCATTGGATAAAAGCACTGCCTTGCTTTGATGAAGTCTCATATGATGCTATTTCTAGAAATGAAAACTAGTGGCCAGATCATCATCATCAGCTATACATAGAATAAGGCTTCCATTACAGACCCCTGATTCTCAAAGAAATAAAATGACTTTTGATGGTTGCAGCCTTGGATATCAAGAGAATTTAGGCATTAGGGGATTGTTCAGACAACAGATGGAGCTCTAATGGCTCTCTATTCAGGTCCAATTGGATTTGGAGACTCAAGGAACACAGATATACAGATATATGTTAAGGTTAGTTAGAAAGCAGACTGCCAATTTCATGGTTACGTTTCATGGGTGCCTAGGAATGCATACAATACAGTTGATGTCTTACCAAGGCAGGAGGTAAATATGGATCAACTGTTCTGGGGGGAGGTGCCAAGGGAACCTATTGTATAAGATACTCGAGTGTAGATAGCTTTCTAGTCTACATAGACCTCTTTATTATTGTACTTGAACATATTATTCATAAATTTCAATAAATTTTGTATTCTTACTGATCAAAAACAATAGTATGTCAGAAATAACAATAATAATACCGTGGCATGTGAAGGAAGAATAAGTCCTCCAGGTTTAAGCCAACGATCTCTTGCAGTAATTACACTCCCCAGCATACTCTACAGACAAAACAACAAAGGTAAAGCAAAAGATACGGAGTAGTATAGAGTATGAGAAATTGCATCTGTACCAAGGTGTAAAATGTTTCAATTTAAGCCAGGCATGGTTTAAAATGTTCCTAATTTCCCTAACAACATATTTCCATTTCCATGGGTAGCAACACGAAATTTTACTGGAATAGACATTTCCCCAATTAACACTACCAGCAATTTGTGCAGTACAAGAGATAGTTTACACGACTTATTTCCATTTCCACTTCAATGGTTAGCGACATGAAATTTTACTGGAACCAACATATTCCCCAGTGAACACTACCAATACCATGTGGAGTCTAACAAATAATATTATAACATAATTTGGTGACAATATTGTAGATATGTGAAGTAACAATTTATTGTCCACCTAATTTACAATTACCACTTTGAGCTAGCCTAATATTTATTTCAAACATGAAGTTAAATATTAGTTTTTAGTTTGTGTAATAAATTATTTGGTTGATCTATTACAACCATTTACATTTTCTCTGAGTTGAAATTTTGATTTAACTCATTCTATCATGAAGCACTGAATCGAAAGATTTACAGGTTAACCTCAGAACATATTCTTCTGTATATAACTGTTAGCGTAGGGGTATTACTGTCCTTATACCCAGATTAAGGTTGCTGATCTGTAATGTTGTGTTAGAACCAGTGCTCCTTCCTTGAATAAGGGCACATATGTCTTTTCAATTATTTTAATAATAAAAAGCATTGTCTGGCCGAATGGGGGTAATCTTCTTGAGACTTCCAGTTCGAACCAGACTTTCTCCTTTTCTCTTTCTCTCTTTCTTCCACCTTTCTACCTCTTTCTACATAACCGATCTCAGACAAATAGAACTCCAAGGCAGGCCGAATCATAACATGGTATCAGAGCAACTTGAATCTGTCTAGATTTCTATT